TGGTGTTCTAACGGCTTAGATATTTGCCTCCAAGCAGAACCTCAGGATCGTATTATGGATTCATGGCGCGTCATATCAGTTTCGCATGGGTTCTCGCGCGAAAGCATGCAAACACGATGCAAGTCATCCAATGATACGACCCTGGGGTCCAGACTGGATGCGTATATCTCAGCAGCTAACGAGCCATTTGCGCTGCAGCTTGGGCCGTGCCTTAGTTAGGGTCCCAAAATTACTTTCCACATAAAATCCCCACAGGCTCAAATTTGCCTGGACGCTGTCTTTAAGGTTTAGCTCTTCATCTTTCAAGCAATCGCTCAGTGGTGTTCAAGGTGCGTTCTCAGTTCTTCAAGTCGCTAAGGCCTTCGCATCACAATCCCTCCATCGTTATCGTAAGGATCCTTCTCCATGGGACGTTCCAGACATTTACAACTTAAAATGAACTCTCCCGTCTGTGAGCGCCGTAACCGACTTGTTACTTCTTGCAGCTTATGAGCAGATCTTCTTCTCCAGATTTTGAGTGAATCCTCTTTCGTTCAAAGTAGCGGCAACTGGAGCCGCTGCAGCAAAATGACACTACAGAACGAGCAAGCTTCACTTTTGGATGAGGATGAGGTCAATCCCTGCGTGAGTTGTTTTACTGCGATATTTACGTGTCCTCCGGCATAGTTATCATAAAGATAGAAAAAGCAGTGCATGGAAAAGTTGTGCAAAGGAAAGAAGTCCAACGTTTGCTGTTTTTGTTCCGGACCACATCTAGAATTCTCGTCTGTATATAACTTCCAGTGGCATCCCTTTTTTGCGTTGTGGTTATAACAATTTTGTAGATGGACTTACCGAAGATGCTTACTCTCCTTTTTTGGAGGGCATAGGAGTAGAATGAGAGGATCCCAAGAAATCTGCAAGAGAGATGGGTGACCGACTAAGCCAACGCATCCAGCATCCCTTGATGGGAGGCTTTTATTTTGAACTAGTTGACTTACCCGGCTCCGCCCGGCCCTGTCATTATTATATTCGTAATCAGCATGCTCGATTACCCCCATGTGCCAACTCCCAGCCCCGTAGCTCAAATTTTGCAAAAAAAATCGATAAAATCGATATCGATCGATGACGAAAAGTAGCCTATGACACTCGCCGGGGCCCGAAGTGTATGTGTGCCAAGTTTGGTCCGGATCGGTTCAGAAATGGAATTTTCAATTCGGAACATACGTACAGACAGACAGGCATACAGACAGACAGACATACAGACATACAAACAGACATTCAGCTTTATATATAAGATGATTTTACAATGTCGCCTTTCCACATGAAGTCTATATCAGTTCAAGGAGCTTAACAATAATTCAAACCTGTCTCCGCTAACTGGCAAACGCCACTAGACGCTGAGTTGTATCGTCGATTCGGTGATCGCACGAACAGGGCCCGGCATGCGTTGGTTTGGGGGTTCGAGCACGAATTCCCTCATGACTTTGCAAATTTTTACAAAATCCCCACTGAAAAATAGCACCCTAATTTCCGGGGTATAAGGGCACCTTGTATAAGGCGCACCCGCCGCAGCGAACAATGGCGCGAAGACGTTTTCTAAGGGCCGCATGCACTAACATTTCCGCTGGGGAGGGGATCGCAGCTTCAGAAGAAAGCTTCATATCCTGAAGCTCCGGATATCTGGATTTCACGCTGTCTACCTATCCGTAAGTACTCCTACCATCCTTCGCTATGAACATATTGAGCAGAAGCGAGAAGCTGTGCAAGCCGCATTTCCCACCTTTTTGTAGGATCCCCTGATGATCCCTGGGGGACGAACATCTATTCTTCAAAGTCATTTTTCTTTCTCCGAAGTCAACGAAAACCTTCAATAGTTGTACTGAACATCTAACACAAAAGTGCTAAGCATGTTGCTGATGAGAACAAAGGAATTTTTGAAAAATCGAATTTTGCTGTAAACCCCAAATTTCGACCTGTGGATCATCGAAAATTTCATGACTTCAAAACATCATTTGTTGACTTCAAAATATCATTTGTTCTTATCAGCAACATGCTTAGCACTGTTGGGTTAGATAATCTGCACAACTTTGGAAGTTTTTCGTTGATTTTAGAAAAAGAAAAATGACTTTGAAGAAAAGCGCCGGGGATCATCAGGGATCATACAAAAGCTGGAAAATGCGGTTTGTACAGCTTCTCGCTCCTGTTCAACATGTTCATAGTGAAGGGTAGTAGGAATACTTACGGATAGGTACACAACGTGAGATCCAGGTATCTGGAGTTTCGAAATATGAAGCTTTCTTTTAAGCTGCGATCCCCTCCCCGCGGCCATGTTAGTGCATGCGGCCCTAAATGATTGTTCTCTAAATGTGAAAAGCTGAAAAGAAAAAAAACAGTGTGCTGTGGTTATTCTTCACTGCCCATAAATCATGCCTTCAGGGCTTTTTTTCCTCTACTCAAAATGTGTAATTTGATATCGTATCTACATCGTAGGAGGAAGATGATCTCAATGGTGTTTATGGTGTTTAAATGATTCTTTCTTTTGTTTCCAATGATGTTACCGGTGCCACATTTGTGCTTTCTTCGTTTCCAGTAATGCTATTGGTACTGAAAATGTGCTATCCTCTACAATAATACTGCTGACATCTTGGAGGTTCTTGTTCAATTCTTGTCATTCTTGAAAAGAATCAAAGAGAAGGTAGAGATTTTTCTTGAAACAAACCGCTATTGAGAGGAAAACAGCACAGAACGGGAGCAAAAAGCTACTGCTGAGAGGTTGCTGTTGGCTGCTTGTGCGGCGCCGCGCATCGCGAACGTCATCGTACATCAGTCCGCGCGCGGTGAAAGCTACTGCGCCTTATACCCCGGAATTTAGGGTAAGAAAACAAAAACAACAACGAATCAAGAAACAATTGTTGCCAGTTCAAAGGACGCCTTGGCGAGCATGTGACCGGAGCCCCATATCTACCAATGCGTTTATTCATACTATTTTTGGCTCAAAGAAGAAAAAGAAAAAGAAAAGAGGCAATGGTTTGATTAGCTCTTTTCACTATATGATAGACTAGATGGCTTACCCGGCTCCGCCCGGCCCTGTCATTCTTTTATTCGTAATCAGCATGCTCGATTACCCCCTGTACCAACTCCTAGCCCCGTAGCTCAAATTTTGCAAAAAATCGATTCGATATCGATCGATGACGAAAAGTAGCCTATGACACCCGCCGGGGCCCGAAGTGTATGTGTGCCAAGTTTGGTCCCGATCGGTTCAGAAATGGAATTTTCTATTCGGAACATACGTACAGACAGACCTACAGACAGACATACAGACAAACAGACATTCAGCTTTATTATAAGATTTTCAAGAGTTCCAGTCGTCCAAATCAAGCAGGTTGTGCGAACTCTTCATTATTCTTATGTGAACTCTTCATTGTTTATGTTTCGAACCAACCCAGTTGGTTTGGTGATGGTCTAGAAACCAACAAATTTGGGGACGGATATTAAGACACATAATTTTTTGGAAATTTTTACATAGTGTAGTTTGGAGCAATATTGTTTACACATAGCCCAAATTCGGTGTCATGTGATTGCTTGTGCGCTGTAAACAAGCCGCTTTGTATTTGAGCATCATTTTTAATTTGGCGCACTTGATAAAAAAAACACGTGAGCATGCCATTCACGCACCAACTGGTTAGCATAGAAGGTCACTTAAATGTACGGGGCTTATCAAACGCAGTGTCGCTTGCATTAGCATCTCCGCTCCCGCGCTGGACTCTGCTTCTCTTCCACGAACATGCTCTCTGACCACTTTCCCAGGGCAAGCGTGGGAAAGGCGGAGCCTCAATCAATTGGAAGTGACCAGAGAGCACGTTTGTGGAAGAGACGCAGAGTCCAGCGCGCGAGTGGAGCCACACTGCGTTTGATAAGCCCTGTATGTTTAGCAGATTCTACGACACTCCCTTAATTTTACTAAAAATGAAGTCCAGTTCAACCCCAAACCATCGTGCCTGCCTGGGCTCAAACCCTGCGAACCACGTGCGGGGCGGCTGGAATGTTGCAAGAGCACGATTTGTACAATGACAGATTTGTGCTGGGGCAAGCGTTTTACTCGCGGCTCGTGCACCGCAGTGTCTAGTCCGTGCGGTCAAGAAATCGACGATAAGCGTCATTGGGATGCGCGCAATTAGCACAAGATCGTTCGCAGGGCTCATATTATTCAGTTTTGAATGTCATAGCACTTCAGCAGCCTTCCACCCAACAAAGTCATACTCAACACGATCTATTTGAGCGAGGGAGGGAAACAATCGATTTAGCAAGATTCTGGATTCATGACACAAAAAGCATTACAATCCAAGGTCCAGAAGCACTCGGCACTTAGTGAAAACAGGTTTGGTTTCGGCGTTCAAAATCCTTCAAGTGGTTCTATTCGGAAACTATTCGGAAATTTCGACGAAAACACTTCCTTTGTTGGTAAGACCAGTATGTTGAATATGCATGAGCAAAGTAAGCGAGCTTAAGGTTCATAAGTTTTTGTGGACGTAGATCCAATCTTTAGGGTTTTCGAAATTTTTGAATTTCGATTTCAAACTCACATAGGTCGGACTTCTTGCGGATGTTTGAAAGTTGTCTTTGAATGTTATAACGTCTATTTAGAAATCAACAAAAATGTGAACTCCTGCAAAACTGTAAAAACTACCCAAAGCACAGAGATTCTCTCTCATACTATTATCTCGATAGAAATGGGATGATTGTTTTGTAGAGCTTGTTCTTTTGTTTGTTATGATGACCCTCATCCATTTTTCTATCACGCTATCGTTGTAAAAAGAGGAATTGCTATCTTCCTTCTGCAGTGACCTATTACAACATCTCGGCTAAATTCCCGAAAAACTTTCGTGGTCCTTCCCTGCCCTTTAAGGGTCTTCTGAAATGAGCGAATTTTTAATTTTGTCTGTTAAAGAAACTGAACATGGAGCATGCAAAATCGAACACCATCAAACTGAAAAACGAAAAAAGACTAAACTAGGTAAAGGATACCTCTACATTCAGCGTGCCCTCTAGAAGTGAGTCATAGCGAATTCTTCACGAATCATGTACTCCTTGCTTAGGAATATACATACAACAGATAAAGATATCTGGATGAGATTACATAAGGCCTACGTTCTCCCCATATTGGAGTATTGTAGTCCAATCTGGAACCCCAGCTTGAAAAAACATATTATTAAAACAGAAAAAGTTCAACGGGCATTCACTAAAATCTTGTTTTACGCCTATTCCCATGCAAGGAGTATCCTGAAGCACTTCTTGACTATAAAATCAGATTAGCGTTCTTTCATTTGAAAAGCTTGTACTACAAACGAATTTTGGCTGACATTTTATTGGCTCATAAGATATTTCGAAAGGAGGCGCGTCCAAATTTTTCTGATTATTGGACTTTTCGTCCTTGTCAGATTCGGAGACCTAATTTAGATATATGTGTTCCGTCCAAGGGTTGGCGCAAGCGAGTGCTGCGATATTCGTTTGCGGGTCGTACTTGTCGCCTACTAAACTGCCTGCCTTCAGAGATTTTAAGCCAAAACAATTCAGCCAAACTCAAGAAGTTCCTGCTTAGCAACAACCTTCTGCGAATGTTTGATCTATAGGATGTTTCATGATTCTTTTTAGGATAAGTTGAGATCGTGACGCAGTGTCCACCTGTCTAAACAAAATGTTTTCTATTTTATTCATCTCATTGCTTAGCTCTTACTTCACTGTGGATACCCCACCGGTAGTTTTTCAGCCTATGCCCAGAGTATTCCTTTACTGGTAAGCCTGGTTCGACAGGGGTTCAATCGGTATACCTGTCATTCCGGATGCTCCAGGCATGCCATCTGGTGTTAGGGGCGCACCAGCGCACACTTGGTCGACTGATGTGCAAACTATTAGCTCTATTTACGCTTGGGGAAACGACGCTTCAGTTCTAGCGGTAATGAGATTGATTTTATAATATCTGTATTTCTAGCGGTGGACCTGATATCCATTTGCCTGTTACATGTCACTAACCACTCTTGAATTCGTTGAGTTGGACGCTCTAACTTTCAGGTTTGTTGTAGCGCACATACGTGCACAAATAAACAAATAAATAAATGAAGTTTTCTCAGGCTTTCCTACATAAGATTCCGTAAATACTCAAGCAGCAGCTGCACAGTCGTCTATGGGCTACATTCAATAGTCCTTCTTGACAGTAGCCTGTTAGCGCACTAAATTTTCCTGCTTTGGCAAATGCAGATTCAAAACTTAGTACATTTTCCTGGTTTCATACTGGTTTTCTCAGTCATATCGTCACACTACATCCAGCGACGCGCTTCATTGCAGATTGCACAATTGTGCAACTATGTACACAAAGCAAAACGATTTGAAAGAGGACTGTAGCAGAGATCTAGAGAAGTGATCGTAGCACATTACTGGAGTAATTAAAGGCAGTGGCTCGGCAAATCTCAGCCTAGTCAAATTTGCGCTTACCTGGGGTTTTTCAATACGATGATCCTGAAAATCCACTTTTGAAAGCTTGAAAACGGCGAATATGAGCGTTTTTAATGCCATTCCCTTTGGAATTGGACGAGTGGAGCAAGGCCGATGACGCTAAAACGTGGCAGGACCCAATGGTTATAGCGTTGCGGCGGGCAGCCTCCAATGGTGAGAAGGAAATTGCCAACTCGTCCAGATGCGTGTAAGATTGGCCTGCGCGTGTAAGCTCGAGAGCGATTTTCTCGGCAGGGAAAGCATGCTGTGCAATCGGGATTGCACTGTTTTCATAGTTGGGCGATAAGGAACCTACCGCGTTAAAATCCCGAGTTTTTGGATTTTGCCAGTCCACTGCCTTTAAAGTTCATCAGGAAATGTCTCAGAAAATTTCTTGAGATTTTTTCTGGAATCGAAAATCGTCTGCCTTTCACTGAGCATTTGCGTGCATTTGTTTGCTCAATCTGACAACTTTCGGCACTTGAATGTCCCGTTTCTAAGAGAACTTATAACAATTACATCACAGTACATATGCATATATCAGCTCTGAACCGCCTATAGTACTGAAAACGTACTATAATTTACAAGCATGTCCATACAGCGGTAACCTAGTAACCTTCAATTCCTTTCTCTTAGCGAGCATTTTAGGGACAGCAACGAACCTCAATACATGGTAGGGCGCCCGGCCTCTCGAACTGTCTAGTACAACGCTCTATTCCACGCCGAAAGGAGCATCTTTGCCGCCAATTTCTATGTACATTTCTTCTTGTGTATTTCCAGCACACAGAAGCACACTCGCTGTCATTTTGGCTCTGTTTACACAAACTTTTGGTTGTATTAGCTTGAATGCTGCATGAGAAAATCGCTTTTTCAACGATTTCTGTTCGTTATTCGGCACATTCTCAACGCTACCCAAAATCGATTGAAATTATATAGCAATGCTTTCCATGAGTTGTGATGAAGGCTCAGTAGCACAGTCTGCAGACTTTCGACTACCTCCAGCACTAGCTGTTGCCACACATGCGCTGAATGCAAACACGCGAGCGAATGCTAACAATGATTCGTCTCGAGAATCTTTGGGCAGGGTTTTTCAGCCCAGAGGTAATCGAGCAAAAACCTGCAAGACATAGAAAAAAAGGAGGAAAAACTGTCTTCGTTAAAATATGGATGCTCAGTTGCCCAATGTTTTTGGCGAGCAGGTAGGTCTGATCGTAGGTCAAGGCGCTACACATCGATAAGTCCAATTCTTTTTGGGGAGGGGAGGGAAGTCCCGGTTAAGCAGTAACTTCCGAATTAATCAATCATTCTTACGACGTCTTTATGGATGGCTCAAAGCGGATTATCTTAATGTGCGAGGAATGCAATTTTTGCTTTACCATTTTCCTAGCTGTTGGTGAGACTCAACTTTTAGCTTGCTTTTCAGCTATTTTAGTTCATTATAAGCTAATAACTAACTGAAGAGGTTTGAAAAAGGTAGAAATGAAGTCCGTTTTTGTTCTGATTCACCTGCCACTGCGCAGCTCGACTGCTTCGTCAAATAGCCGTGTTTGCATAGATTCAGTCGGGGCATGCCGAGTACTCGCCGTGCAAGCCAGGTGATGGACTCCGCCCTTGCCTCAGCAGAGGCCCGCGAGTGAAGCTGCATCGCTTAATGGAGCTGCGGCCGGCCGTGTTTTTATTGATTTCCAAAGCTCCCGGCGGCTCTGCTTATTTTTGAGCTTAGCCGCTCTTCTGCTCCTAGCTCCACACTACTTCTTTTCACAAACTTTGCCCAAAACCTCTACCTCGGCTCTTTTTAGCTGTCTAGCTCGGTTGTGCCAGGTTGTGCTTGTTTGAATCCCAACGGATAATTCAGTGCTTTGATACTTTGGCTGCACTCAAAGCAAACGCTTTGTTTTCTATGCATGGCCTTCATAACTGATTTTGCTTTGCTTTTACGCATGAATTCACAGTTTTTTCTTCTTTGCCAAAAGATTTACTTGTTTTGTTACTTGACTGCTACCTACGATCTCCAAAGCATTTGCCTCAACCTTTTGAGGGAAGAACCCGTGTTATAGTTCGCCTTTGTCAAAAAATAAGCTGCTCTCTTATATTTTGGAAGTATTGAGATGGCGTGGAAATTTCGTTGCATTTTTTAAAGAATCAAAGCTTCTTGATATGTCGACCAATGACTCTTATTCTATATGAAAGAAGGAATCTGCTTTTATAGTACAAGGATTCACTATTGCTCGCAAGTCAAAGCCAATAGAGTTTCATTTTGATCTTGTTTTATAACCTACTCTATAAAACCACGAAAACTAGAAATCTTTTCGGAGTATTTTTAGAAAGCGACAGTCTTTGTAACAATTTGGTAAACTCTCTAAAAGATTGACTATGTTGACAAAACAAGTAAACATTTTATTGCATTGCATGTTTCTAAATTAATGTGTGCAGTATTATAATCAGGTGTCTAGCGTACAGCAGCTTGAACATCTCTAAATATTTTATCTCTTCTTATTTCTAGTTGAAATGGCCGACTCTTCAGCTCCTTGAGTACTATGTGGAAAAAGTCTGTAAATGAAGAGTGGTTAAAAATTTAGTTTCAAACACGCTTTCTTGTGTATAGGGGAGAAAAACGAGAAAGGCAGATTAAACGTCTAAAAATGCACTCAGATTTGCTGCTTCTTATCACCAAGTGATTCTACTTTGACACGAGCTATTGCATTCACCTCTGTGCGTGGGAATAATGCTCTCCCATCCTAAAAAAATTGCTACTGGATATTATGAATAAATACCCTATTTTCCGGAGTATAAGCCGCACCTTGTATAAGCCGCACCCGCCGCAGCGAACAATGGCGCGAAAGCGCTTTAGAAAAGAGCTATATAGCAAATTGAAAACCCGGTGCGTTCTAGTACGGATAGTCATGTCTACCTTTTTTTCTTGTTTCATATGACTTTGCGGGTGTCTGGGTTGTGTTTTCTCTCCTAAACGATACTACTGGTTGACTGTGCTTTCTTTTTTCAATGATGTTACTGAAGTGGTGCTGAAGTTGTGCTTTTTTTAATATTGATTTACCGGTCTGAAGCTTATCACCTTTCGATTCCATGTTACTACTGGTATTCGAACGTTCTTTTATTGTTCAGCGGATTCTTGAAGAATAATTGAGAAGGTAGAGAATTTTGTTACAAACAAATACACTTGCGAAGAAACCAAATAAAGAACGAAAGCAAAAAGTCCATATTAGATTACCAGACGAGATAAATAGTAGTTGCTGCTTGTGCGGCTTCGCGCATCGCGAATGACATCGCAATTTAGCCCGCGCGCGGTGAAAAGAAATGCGGCTTATACTCCGGAAAATAGGGTAATAGTATTATTTTGTTGTTATCATCATATTGCTTACAAGGGAAGGAAGGTTGGTCAAAGTGGCCTTTTGAGATGAGATGTGCACTATCCTGTAGAGCTTGGAACGCTAATTCCAATTCTATCTCTCCTATGTGCTGCCGGCTTCTGGGCGAGGAATTATGAAGGTTTTGTGGGTAAAAAGTCAAATGCAAGATTAGTATAAAATCAGTCGCGACCTTTTCTTAACGTTCAAATGAGGCAGCGGCGAGTTGGTACATTTGAATAAAGAATGTTTACTGCACCGAGTGACTCGACTATCAATTGAGCCCTGGAAAAAATGTTACGACTGATTTTATATTGATTTTGCATTTAAATTTTTACCCAGAAAAACCTTCGTAACTCCTCGCCCAGAGGCCCGCAGCAGATAGCGAAGGCAGATTTGGAATCAGCGTTCGAAGCTCTACAAGACAATAGATAAATATTATTCTGAAAGGCCACTTCGACCAACCTTCCTTCTCTTCTTGTTAGTTTGAAGATCTATAGTATCTTGCTCCTGACATTACTGCTGCTGAGTATTTTCCCTCAAATATGATTTGTATCCACTTATTCAATGTTACCTGATTATCCGCTAATGTTATTATATGATTTGCAGACATGGTCGATCTCAAGCAGCAGCTGAACGCCATCGACTATTTTGGTGTAGTGGCGGTTTGGTTGAGCTTCTTCTCCATCATTTTCATCATCTCTGTTACTTGCATACTCTGGTGCTGTGTAAGCAAAGACGACGATTCGACAGTGTTTGCAAAGGTTGATAATCTTATTTATAATATGGATTTATGTGGGTTTATTGCAGGAGAGGTGAAAATTTTATTTTGATTTTGAGTGACACTATTAAGTTGCAAGATGGAGACTTCAATCAAAATTTCCTCTGAGAACTTTGACGAAATTTGTCAAAGTTTTTGACTTGTACCTTTATGCTGAGGTAGCGTGCTGTATCAAGGTGGACCGTTCGCCGTTTCTTCAAACGCTATATATTGCCACAAATTTCTGCGTATAATCAAGTGACTGTGGACAAAACTGCCGTTGCAAAAATGTCTATCGTGTTTCGCAAGTCATCGAGTTTAGCTTAAAATTTAGGCATTGTCCGTGCAATATTGTTCACTTGTTCCAAGCATTATCAATCAAGCTTCTCAAGAAAATCTAATGTTTTCGTGAGCTCTTTTGTCTTGTTAAATCAATTTATGCGCACCTTATAAGGAGTCCTTCGAGAAACACGTTTAAATCCGTTAGGCTGCCACAAAAACTCTTTCCCTTCTTTTCAAAATTCATATACCCTATTTTCCGGCGTATAAGCCGCAATTATTTTCGTCGCGCGCAGGCTGATGCGAGATGATGGTCGCGATGTGCGAAGCCGCGCAAGCAGCCAACTACCACCTATTTTACCTAGTAGCCTGATTGTAACTTTCTGCTTTCGCTCTTTCTTGTGGAAGCATTGAAAGCACCGTTGAACCATCAACATCATCATCAACAATGATTAAAATCGAATAAAATAGCAGCAGCTTTAACCCCAGTAACATCTCTGAAAACAAAAGAAAACACGGTCAACTCCATTGTATCCTTGAGGAAAAAACACAACCTAAACACCCCAAAGTCGTCCGAATCTCTGGAGAGAATAAAGAAATATCTGAAAACGTGAACATGCGCAATGAAAAGCAGTCACAAAATGCAGCGAGTTTTCAGTTTGTTAGATTAAAACTTTCTTTTCGAAGGCTCTTTCGCGCCATTGTTTGCTGCGGCGGGTGTGGCTTATACAAGGTGCGGCTTATAAACCGGAAAATAGGGTATTTAATTACTCTCACCAGATTTCTTGTCCGCTCCTAGAGAAGGAATAACTTGCGTTCTACACAGCAGCTTTTGAATTTAAGTAGCTAGTGGGCATAACCTGGCTCCGCCCGGCCCCGTCAAAACAGTATGACAGAGGTCCCATCCCTATCCCTGTACAACCCTTCCCTGTGCCCACTTCTACATGTCAATTCTCTATTCCAGCTATGTTAGTGATCAGCATGCTCACTTTCACTGTGCCAAATACCAGCTCCGTAGGTCGAACGTTGCAAAAAATCGATAAAATACATAAAAGTAAAGGGTAATCCTGAAAAACTAATATTGTATTCGTAATCAACATGCTCGATTACTCCCCTGTGCCAACTAGCCCCGTAGGTCGAACTTTGCAAAAAATCTATAAAAATTGATAAAATCGATATCCGTCGATGACGAAAAGTAGCCTATGTCACCCGCCCCGCCCCGAAGTGTATATGTGCAAAGTTTGGTCCGGATTGATTCAGAAATAAATATTTTCGACACACACACAACACACACAACACACATTCAGCTCATATAAAATAGATCCTAGCTGACTCTACGTGATCAGCTTTTTTATTTTGAACTGCCGTGCTATGCTGCTCTTGCACACTCTTCAATACGACTTGTTTCGGTTTGACTCTATCTATTCTTTCCAAGCTCTTGTGGAGAGCCCCTTAGCTCAAAGATCTCCCTTCATGCACTCATTTGACCTAAACTCAGGAGGACAAATATTTCAATAAGAACATAGCCAAAGCAAGATGCTGAGTGTATCCTCAAGTACACATCCAAATCTCTTTCTCAACCGCTGAAGTAGGCAAATCGGGACCCAAATGCCTCGGCAAGAGCTTTCACCAGGGAAATCCAAAACAAAGTCCCCTTTGTCCAAGTTCGACTTTCGATTAATCTCGGCATGTTGCAGATGCTTGTTGTGGCTTGTTTAGCTGAACACCGGGATTGGTATATCCTTTATTCGACTAACGTTTCGGCGGTATCGCCTTCTTCATTGGGCGTCTTCCTGAGTCTTGAGGCGGTTTTTGATAGGATAGTTCACTTATGCATTCGATAATTTCAGACTCTGAAGAAGGCGATACCGCCGAAACGTTAGTCGAATAAAGGATATACCAATCCCGGTGTTCAGCTAAACAAGCCACAACAAAAAAGTCCCCTTTAATCTTGAAAATCTCGCACAAAGTTTCCTTTGACGCTAGACCCTAAACGTAAAAAACCCTTAAAAAACCAAACGTCGATCAAAAAAAAGGTCGCAATTTTTGTGTTTTTTCGACCACAAAAACGACAACCCCTTTGCTTTTTGTCCCAAAAATGATATCCAGCTCGACATGGTGCCCAGTTGTGCCAAGCTCTGCCCAGATATCAACAGCAAAAATTTTGTGTTAAAGTTTTCTCAACAGCAAAAACTCTCGGTTCGTAAATTTCCATTTTGCAGAGAACTCTCATGCATTTTTTGCATATTCATTTGTGTAATGTCGACTTGTGGCTACAGAAATCTTCAGTTGAATACTTATCATCGAACAAAGTAATAGTTACAAAAAAGACGTTTTCGAGAAGATTATGCTCTATCGTTAGTGTTACAAGTAGGTGTACCTCAAATTGATAGACACCTATTAAGTACAGGGCTCGGCATAGGTGGCTTACGGGACAAGCTGGATATCTTCTGTGAAAAGCAAAGGGAAAATCGTTTTTGCGGCACCGTTTTAGCAGGGAGAAAATGCCATTTTTGAAGCGTAAAGAAAGTTTGCCACTGAAAAGCTTACTTCCTTTTATGCACCTTTTTCGTCGTACCTTCCTTACGACCCCCCCCCCCCCCTCCCTAGGGCTCGGCATGAGGTAGCTTTTTCAATTTTTCAAAAACGAAGTCCCCCCAGAGTTCGTCACCAAAATACGAAATATCACCCATAACGCGATCATGAACGGAACAAAAGGAATAACGGAAAATAATGGAACAAAACATAAAAACAACATTGAACAAACGAAAAAGAACTAAAGATGTTTGTATTCTCCGAATTGGCGGCATGCTGTGTCCGCCGCGCACCACTGCTCGTTGGAGCAGGCTTGCCGCCGTCATACAAGATATTTAAAGGGCTGCAGCTATGCGAGGAGGAGGGGATTTGGGAAGATCCGATAAGTCGTTCGCTAGGTTTTTGATGTAGAACGAAGTTATGTAAAAATTTGAGAAAAATATGTTAAGGAAGGGAATTTACGTTTTTCTTTTTACAGCCACCTTGGGTGGCTTCTAGGTGGCTGGAAAGCAGCCTAACTCCGTAGAAAGTTTGCGCGCCTTCAATCCACATATTTTTTTCATAATTTCTCGTACATAGTCCTGACTCCCTATTGCCCATCTACACACCAATTTTGGTGCCATTTCATTTTCTCTTCGCTGTAAACAAGTCTGTTTATTTCGTTGCATGTTTGAATTCGCGCGCTTAAAGGCAGTAGACAGGCAAAATGGACCCCTGTCAGATTTTGGTAGTTTCGGGTAGTGGACCCCCTAATTACACCGTAGCCCCAACCCCAACTTCCAGTTGATGCGCTAAGTCCTGAAAAAAGCGCTTCAAACTTCCACCAATAACGCCCACTCAATGGAAGTGGGCGGGGCTGGTGGAGTTTTGAAGCGCTTTTTTCAGGACTTAGCCCATGAATTGGAATGTGGGGTTGGGGCTACGGTGTACGTGTACTTGGGGGGTCCACTACCCGAAACAACCAAAATCTGACAGGGGTCCATTTTGCCTGTCCGCTGCCTTTAAAGGCAATGGCTCGGCAAATCGACCTGGAGTTTTTTCGCTTACCTAGGGTAATTCGACGCGCACAATCCGAAAATCCACCTTGCGAGCGCAAAAATGGCGAAACCAGCATTTTCCAAAACCCCCCATTTTGAATCTGGGCGAGTGGAACGGCGGTTCCGGTCATGGTTAGAGACGCAGAGACGTTGAGGGACCCCAATGGTTATAACGTTGCGGCATGCCTCCTCTGACGGTGAGGGGGGGGGGATCGCAAGCTTGTCCGAGCGCGTGTAAGAATGGTTTGCGCATACGGGTTTAAGAGCTGTTTTCTAGGCAGGGCAGCATGCTGTGCGCTCGGACTTGCTCAGTTCTCATATTTGCGGTGCAAGCAACCTTCCAAGATGTTTGGTTTTGCCGAGCCACTGGCTTTAACCGACGAACCTGTTAAATAAGAAATTTCGGTTTCCGCAGGAATGGGATCGATAAGACAGGATTGACAATTTTCGTCCTCTATAGAAGATGAAAGGGCTTGGGTTCCCGCTTAAATGATAACCCCTTTCTTTTTATTCCAAAGCGGTATCCAGCTTGCCCCGTAAGCCACCTGTGCCGTGCCCTGCCCCCCCCCCCCCCCCTCCCTCGATCACACACTTGACCCTGCTTGACTCTTATCTCATCCAAAATACTATTCTTCGAGGAGAATAGCTACGATACTTTAGAGCAAGATTTGGATCGGCATGTTCTTGTCACAACCTACTATATCAGATTGCTGCTTAAGTTCTGTACGATCTGCAATTTTCACTTCAATATCATAACTCCTTCCAGAATCGATTCCTCTCGATAAGCTCAATTTCTGTGGATTAAGCAAGCGTTTGGTATCAGATAGATATCATGCCTTACGAAAAACGCCATTCAGGTAGAAGCAAGATTTCAGAGTAGAAGCAAGATTTCAGAAACACTGCAATGTTTTTTTTAGATTGTGTTTTTTTAACAAGGTGCTGCTCCCCAAGAACTGGCAGACATATGTAGCCATCAGATAGCAAAAATTTTGAAGATCATTTTATGACCAAATAAATTCCATAGAACTCTTGAGACCTAGAGATTTTTCTAAGCAAATGAAAAAAAACCGATGCTTACCTCGCCTCTGTACACGCATTTACGGCCTTTTGCGAATTTTGATTTTACAAGTGTCGCGAACGTAGAATAGTTACT